TTTGTCAACATCTAATGCTATCTTAAGATGTTGATGTATATTTGGCTCTTTTGTGATCTCATGTTTGAAGAATAAGTGTTGGGAAGGAAGTGAAAGGCATTTACAAAGCTGTTTTACAGTTCTGAATAAGACTGTTCTTAAAAAGGGAAGATTTCCAAAGACACAGATGGCAGTTAAGAACCCAACTCCCAGTCAGTGGGACTGGAGCACCTAGCCCCATTAAGTTTCTCCCCAAGCAATTATGTTACCAGATATTGGGTGAACACTTAAAAAAAGGCTGCATAGCCAACAATACGGTTAATTTATGACACATATACAAAATTCTCAAAATATTTTAAATCATTCTCTGAAACATTTAACAGGCTTCCCTGAACATCTTAAAATGCTATAAAGTTAACTATTTTGAGCACATGATTACCAACTCTTAAATACTAGTGCAGTTTGCATTTTATCACATTAAACAATAGCAAGACAATGCTCATTTAAAAAATAAAGACTAAGCTAGTTTGAAAATTCTGCTGAATACTCGAACCCCTTCATGTTATTGGTACTTGTCACTGTCGGAGACAGGATACTGAGCTAGGTGGGCCATTGGTCTGACCCAGTACCGAAGTTCTTATATTTTTATTGAAACAATTTGAGTTCACCTATGTAGGAATAAAGCAATTCATTCTGGAGCCAATAGCACGGACACTCCCTAAATTGGCATAAAAAGAACTACTGCAAAGGAATTCTATACCTTCCTCTACAAGTGCAGCAACATCTTTGTGACGCATCCAACTCTGCCGGCCAAAATTTTAGAGACCCGCACTCTGGTTTCCTGTAATATGAGCACATAACTTACTGCTCGATTCCATTTTAAAACCACACTCCAAAGAAGAAGAAAAAAAAATAACTAAGGAGGCTCATCCTCTCGGGTCCCAATCTTGCAATTCAGTGCATACTGGTGGATCCCTGCTCCCCCCGGGGAGCCCCACTAAATTCCTTAAGAGCTGCCCAAGTACATCACATTGCAGGATCAAGACCTAAGGCCCCTCACTCTGCAAACACTTAGACACATGCTTAACTCACATATGAAAAGTTAAGAATATGTGTTTTCAAGATTGGGGTCTCACTTTGACATCACATAGTGCTAAGGGTGTAAGGTAAAGGAAGGACAAGGCTTACAATATATGCATCTGCTTGGTTGTAGTCTATTGTCTTTTAACAAAGATTTCCCAGATGATATACATCAACTAGAGAAAGTGACTAAGGCTCTGTCTGCACTACAGAGACTATAGCAGCACAGCTATGGTGCTGTAACTATGCTGGCAAAACTCCATGGTGTAGATGCCGCCTATCATGATGGAAGGGGTTTTTCTGTCATTGTAGGAACACCCTTGCCCCGAGTGACAGGGTTAGGTCGGCATAGCTATGGCACTCAGGGATGTGGATCATGCACACCTCTGAGTGCCATAGCTACATTGACCTAAATTTTAAGTGTAGACCAGGCCTAAGACAGTAGCATCTGCCTATAACAGTAATGGGATGTTAGCACCTAAAGTAATCAGCACATGAAAATTATCATCTGTTACTGCTAAAGCAAAATAATTCAGTAGTGTGTTAAACAGAAAGGAGATGAGAGTAAAGTGTTGCTGGTCTGAAGTCCCTACTCCCACCAAAGAAAACCCCAACAAACATCCCAGTCACTTGGGACTACACTTCTGTGTAAGGTTACAGTTGATTCAGAAGTGCACGGTCCAAAACTCCATTTTGGTAAAATTGTCTGTGATGCTGGCAGACCCGGTGCCAGCTCATGCCAAGGCCCCAGGCCTAACAGAAGACTGTTTAACGCATGGGTGGAAACCAGTCTGGTTTACTTGGGGGTTAGTATAGTAAAAACAGATATTAGTATAATAAAAATGTGTTTAGACTTTATGAAATGCTAGTAGGCTGCATGTATTAATCCTACTTATAATATCTGTATCCATGCTATAAGGTAATACTTATGTGTGTGCTCTATAACTGTAAATTTTTTGTTCTGAAACTCTGGAACTCAACCGGGTGGGGTGGGGAATTAAAAAAAACCCACTTTACTTAATACAAAATGCTGGATTCCTACAGAAGGCGTCCTCTCCTGATCCTCAGGAAGGATTACTGAGTCCAAATGGGCCACTGTAAAACAAAGACTTTGTCAATTGCTCCACCCCTGAAGAGGTTATATGCAGAACCGCTCATCCAATCAGCTTGAATTCTATGGAAGGGGGGATTAAAATCCCTTAACAGAAGGAATTGGGGTCTCTTTATGCTATCTGGACTCTGACTGACTAAGATTCCTAAACATAAGCAAGAGATCCCCATGTTGCTTGGCATGGGTCAGCCCTAACGGATACATAGAGCTGCTCATTATATAAACTTATATAACCCTTTTAAATCTAAGACTGTATTTCAATTGTGTGTGTACATTTCCTGTTTTAACCTTGTAAATAATTATCCTATTTCTTTTCTTAGTTAATAAATCTTTAGTTAATTTATTACAGGATTGGCTACAGGCACTCTCTTTGATTTGAGATCTGAGTACAACTGATCTGGGGTAAGTGACCTGTCCTTTGGGACTGGAAGTAACCTGAACATTGTGATTTCTGGTGTAAAGTGACTATCTGTCACAGAGTCAAGCTTGCCTGGGTGGCAAGACAGATTGGAATGCCCAAGAGGACTGTCTGTAACTCCCTGTTAAGGCTGTATAGTGCCTGAGGTGTTTGCTTAGATTTCACTAGCCCAGTAACAAGTGTAGAGAGCTCACAAATAGGTTGGGGTTTGTGCCCTGCTTCTTAAGAGTCTGCCTGGAGGTTGGTATTCTCACTTATGAGCCACTCCAGGCAGCATAACTTTATCCTCATAAAACATTTCCATCCACAGAATCAAAACAGATAATTCAGTAAAGTCTGTGACTAACATATATGGTAATTTAATAATAAGCACTGAATGGCAATATAATTTTTTACACTGATTTCTAGCTGTCCAGCCTTGAAAAGTTTCAGCAAGTAATCATTTTTGTAATGACATTAAAGCAAAGAGGTAATCCATGTCATGGACAAATAATATATTGGGGCTGGATATTTATTCTCTCAAGGATTTACTGAAGAAGCTGACAAGCCAAAATAGAAAAAAAATTATAACTGCCAATGCTGCAACTTCCACCTGGTATTTGAAAAGATAAAAATCAAGTTATGTTCTGTCTCACGTACTATCAGCAGCAAATAAATATTCTACAGTCAGAACTGAGCTGACAGTTCTGTTCCTGATGTATGAGGCAAAAAGGAATCCAGCTGTCTTTCCACAGCTGCATTTGCTCTGCAGTTTGACAAATGGAATTATTCCTGTTAAGTACATGGCTCAGACACATACAAGAAATAAGATGCCATTTTTCTATGGACACTTTTATGTTAAATACTTTTACTGTGATTCGCAAATACATAAAAAAGTGAAAAGTGGTAGTAAAGTATCAAACAGAAGAAGAGTACAGTATAGGCTGCCTTAAATCAGATTATTAATGGACACTGCTGACTGCAACCATGTGTTACACTAACTGGGTTGCAGAAGCCTGAATATTCTTATTTCCACTCTTTTACATAGAATGGGTAAACTGTCCTTCCTTTCTAGTCATATTATGTTATATAAATTAACTCTAGTCAGAATTTTCTTTAAAAAAGTCTGCACAGGAAAAAACAGTACATAGTCAAGTTACATTAGGCGCTAATTTTCTTGGCTTTCTGTCTACAATATTTCAGCAGACAGACTTCCATATTCTTATTCCATTAACATTCTTGTTGATAGATATGGAAGAGACTGGAAAAAAAAACACTAATGTGACTACAGTAAATAAGTCTACATTCCCATGAGCTTTTAAAATCAATATAACTTTGCCCTTACTGAAGAGTCCATGCTTTAGAACAGCATGACTCTTACTTAGAGAGACAGTGTGTCCGTATGTGTGTACACTATTACTTTCTAACCGAGGAAATAAACAGAAATTTGGGGAAGCACGTATTGCAAATCACTTTATCTAGTTGAAGCCTATCCAAGCCTTTTCTAGCTTCTTCCAAGCTGTTGCATCACACTAAATGCCATGTCTATATAAGAAGATAAGAGATGCTCTAAAGCCCATTGCTAAATGCCAACAAAACTTGCAAGACATTTTTTTTTTTTAAAGCTTCAGGGATGGACACCTCACTTCTGAGTCACCTAATCTTTCTGCAGTGGTTCATTAATGGCCATTTCAAAATACGTAATCTAATCATAAGCAGTAAATAATTTAAGAGCAAGTCCACAATGACGAAGCTCCAAAGGTAAAGTGCTGCTGTCACCTTTGTGCAAGGAAAGTAGTATACTGCATGCTTAAGTTTAGTACACTGCACTGTATACCCCCATAACCCAGCCAAAATAAGAGCCCTGAAAATCTGCGGGTATCCGCGGACCACGTTTGCGGTTCACTGATCGGATGCTGATACACATTTTGTATCCGCGCCGGACTCTAGTAATCATCAAGGATATTCAATAAAGGGCTCAACTGCTTGCTCTTACGTGTTTCTAAGTTCAGAAGCTTGCTAGAAACCAACAGAAAGCGACTAGGAGATGGATGTCATTGTTACCTTCTTTGCAAATGTAGTTACCATGGTACATACACTAGAGATAAAGCAGCAGAGTGACAACTCATAAGTGATGTACTTACAGCGCGGGCTGGTGGGTGAAGGGGGTTATAAGCTTTTAATTCTGAGCAGAGGATATTGCTTTTATCGCAAGGCGACAGAGACAGAGGGCTGCAAGGCTGCTGGGGCGGGGGGCCGGCATTTGGAGGCAGAAGGGCTGCACAGCGGCGGGTTTGCAAGGCGCTCCGGAGGAAGGCGGCTGCACGGGTCTCTGTGGCGGGGATGGGCTTTCATGCCGACGGGGGAGGTCTGCATGCACCGCTCGCCTGACTGGTGCCAGGGGCCGGGGCGCGCAGGGGGCCAGGCACCTACCGGGAGGACTCCCCGCTGAAGCTGCCGCCGTCCAGCAGCCGCACCTTGCAGAAGAGGATGCCGTTGACGAAGGGCACGGACGAGAGCTCGTCCAGCTCCAGCTCCACGCGGAACTTGAACTTCTTCTTCTTCATCATCATGAAGGCCATGGGCGGGGGCCGGGGAGCCTCCGGCCGGGCCCTCAGCGCCTCGCCCCGGCCGGCCGCCGCCCGCCTGCCGCGCTCATGGCTGCTGGGACGGGCACACCCGCCCCCTGCCCACGGTGCTGCCCACCCGGCTCCCAACGGCGCCTCCTACTGCCGCCCGCCCGAGCCGCTTACATGGCAGCCGCCGCCGCCTCCCTTTCAAACCAACCCGCCTCCGCTGTCCGAGGGGAGGGGCAGCGACGCTGCGCCCCAGCCGGGGCTGCAAAGCCCTGCGCTGCTGCCGAGCCGCGCGGCCGCCGTGCGACACTCGCCCGGCGGGCGGGCGCCCCCAGCGGCCCCGGCCCGCCGCGCACCCAGCCGAGAGGAGGAGGGAGAAATAGGGCGGGCGGGCGCCTCAACGCACTAAGCACACGGCGGGGTGCTGGGGGGAGGGAGGTGCTGGAGGCGGCGGCGGAACCGCTCTGGGGCCGGCGGCGGGGCTCCCCGGACTGGGCCCAGCGGTCCGCATGCGACTGCTCCCCTGCGTCCTCAGCCCGGTGCAACGCACTGCTCCGCCGCCGGGCTGCTGCGCGGGGGCCCAGCACGTGAAACCCTGCCCGGTGGGCACCTGCCCCGGGGGTGTGCGATCAGAGAAATCTTCAATCCACGGAAAACCTTCCCCGCCCCTGCAAAGCCTCCACGACCGCTTCATGTGGCCAATGGAAAGCATAGATTGGGGGGCGGGGGTGATTATCTACAGCTTAAAATGCTGGCAGGTGCTTGACCGAGCACGTCCAACGTTATGAGTACCACTGGGGATCGCAGTAGTAGAAAACAATTTAGGATGATCACACATAGACAACAAGTGTCCATTGGCGTTTCCAAATGTAGGCCACCATCTTACGAAGACTATGCTTGCACTTTATGCCTGCGAATAGACCCACTGAAGTCTTATTTAACAAGGTCCCACCACTCAGCAGAGTTGACCAGCTGCAGAGGAAGCAGCAGGTTGTATCCCTTTCAGCAGCATAAAGCACTTGCTATGTGCTGGTGATCTTTCAGTGTTTCCCAGTGCATTTTGTTGGGGGTGGTGCATAGGGTTACCATATGTCCAGATTTCCCCGGACATGTCCGGCTTTTTGGTTGTTAAATGGCTGTCCGGGAGGAATTTTTAAATATCTAAAAAAGTCCGGGTTTTTCGATATTTAAAAATCCCTCCCGGCCGGACGGCATATGGTAACCCTGACGGAGCAAGCCTCTGAGCGCCCGACCTAGGACTGCAAGGCTCGGAGAGGTTCTTCGCCGAGGAGCCGCTAGGGGTTCTGTTGAGCTCGGCGCCACGTTCACAGCTGGGCGCTCCTTGAACCCGGACCCATCCAGGGCCCCCCGGTCCCAGCCCCGGGTGGCAAGTGCCAAGGCCCTGATGCCCTGCCCTGCCCGAGCTGCAGCCGCGCCAAGGAGCGTCTGAGGGCTGCAGGCAGCGCTGGAGCTGCCGGGGCTGCCGGAGGATGAGTCGGAGCCGGCCCCGCACCAGCGGGCTGAGCGGGGAGTTGTCCCGGGAGAAGTTTCCCTGGGCACCCAAGTCCGTAACCTCCCTCCGTGCGGTGCCCAAGCCCATAATCTCCCTCCCTGCGGCGCCGCCAGCACGGGTGCCCTCGGGCTCCCAGCTTTCTGCCGACCGGAGCGGAGCCTGCAAGGAAACTTCTCCCGGGACAACTCCCCGCTCAGCCTGCTGGTGTGGGGCCAGCTCCAACTCATCCTCCGGCAGCTCCAGCGCTGCCTGTAGCCCTCGGATACTCTCTGGCGCGGCTGCAGCTCGGGCAGGGCAGCGCGTCAGGGCCGAGCTCTCACAAAGGAGGCTGCCTGGCGAGGGGAGGGAACGGGGGGTTTCCTCCTCTCCCTTCCAGCTGCCGCATTGCACCCGCCAAGGCAGCGAGCGGGACAAGGGAGCCTCCCGCAGCCACGACAGGAGGGAGGGAGATTCCGGGAGTGGCGGACCCTGCAGCCCCTAGGGCCAGGTGCAGCTCCCCAGCTGGAGCGGGAGGGGTTGCACCAGTGACTTCAGGTGGGGTCGGGGCTTCCACTCCCTGGTACCCCACACAAGTCAAGAGCAACTCTCCCCTCCCCCCTTCAGTGAAGCAAGGGCGGGGGTAAATTTAAAACTGGATCCTGCCACATCTTGTGCAGTGTGGGCCCAACCCTCTGCCCCTCCACTGTCTGGACAGAGAACATGGTGGGGGCAGTTAGGGTCGGGGGTCTCAGGAGGGGGCAGTCAGGGGACAAGGAGCAGGGAGGCTTAGATAGGGGGTGGGGTCCTGGGGGGCAGTTAGGGGCAGGGGTCCCAGGAGGGGGCAGTCAGGGGACAAGGGGCGGGGGGGGGGGGTTGGAGGTTCTGAGGGGGGCAGTCCGGGGGCGGGAAGAGGGAGGGAGTGGATGGGGGTGGGGCTAGGGCGGGGCTCCCCCGTCCTCTTTTTTGATTGTTGAAATATGGTAACCCTAGTGGTGCAGCTCACTGTCCCCACCAGAGAAACAAAGCCCATTATTTTCATAATGGTGACAATTTTAAAATGTATTATTCTGTAGAAGTTAAGAAAAATAAAACAGATCTGAGTTCAGTTAGAGGGTATCGTTCACAATTTTACTTTATTCTTGTGAGCAGATTAGCAGTTGAAACTTCAACTCTGAAACATCTAGACTCCTTGGAGCTCTAGGTTCAAATCTTGGCAGAGTCCAGTTCTTTATCTTTCTATAGCAGCTTACTCTGTGTAAGGCTGGCACTTTAAAAATACATATATTTTTGCTCCAATTTCTGACCCCTATGTCCTATTCTGACTCTGTCACCTATCTGCCAGCAGTAAGTTACCAGTAACAGCTATCCAGGGCCTTGCAGGTTGGCTTCCCAGTGGAGGGGAAAATCAGTGACACTGAGTTACGTATAAGCCATGTAACTTGTTTTATTCACACATATACATCAGTCCTTGCACAAAGGGAATCGTACCACACAGCATTTTTTCCTAAGACTGAACATTTGCTCACATACTAGGAAGAACAACTTGTAAGATGGTGTAACACCACCATCAGGTGACACCTGCTGTAATATAATGTTATGCTGGACAAAACCTAGTTGAAGCTGGTGCGTGTAATATCAGCCAGGATAAACGTATAAAGCAATTGAGCCCCTTTATGGAATAGATAGCTGGAACAATAGGCGCCTCTGCCCCAAACTCAGGCTACATGTAAGGCTAGAGTAGAAATTGAGCCAGGCAGACCAAAGGGTTTACCAAGAGTCTGGTAACAAACACAGCAGTGGTAAATTATTGAAGCACTGTGCATGTGTGTGTGTGAGGGAGAATCACCCCAGACTCAGTGAAAGCAGTAGAGAGCCAGGGCCAGTCAGAGGAGGAGGTATAGCGTGACCCTGAGAAAAAAGTTAGAGTGCTTTTGGGTAAAGTGCTGGCTGGAAAGATGGTTGGAAGCTATAAGAAGCAGGTTGGCTTATGGAGTGGGGGCATTCCTAGTCAGTCTATAGGAGAACTGAGGAAGAGCTGCAAGGAGCAGGGAGGCTGTGGCAAGGAAGCACCTGGTGTACAGGAAAGATAGCTATTGCATTTATGTTGAACCGTTATATTTCTGGGTTTGCTAAAGATTATTAGAACAATCTAGAAATGGTGCCTTAAGGAGAGATCCTGAACAGACTCTGGGTCTGCTGTTTAATTCTTCCTGCACTGGGGAGACAGACCAGCAGCCTACACAGGTCAAAAGGTTTCTGTTTAAAAACATGCAAATTAAGACAAGGAAAATTCTATTATAATTTAATGATGTACATGTAGGTCTAATGTGAGTAATCTACAATTATTTTCTCTCCATATTATAGAATAAGCTTCTAGGACCTGATGTAAAGCCCACTGAAGTTGATGGAAATATGTCCCATGATTTCAGTAGGCCTTGGATCAAGGCCTGGCATAGCTCAGTAAAACATAATCAGCTTCTTTACTGCTGACATATGTTCTCAGATCTCTGACTTGGAAAAATGTCTTTCATTTCCTAAGGGTACGTCTATGCTTACCTCCAGGTCCGGCGGTAAGCAATCGATCCCCGAAGTGCTCGCCGTCGACGCCGGTACTCCTGCTCCGCGAGAGGATAACGTGAATAACGTAGCTGAAGTTGCGTATCTTAGTTCGAAGTGGGGGGTTAGTGTGGACCAGCCCTTAGTATAGAGAAGATGGGTGAGGAGGTTATATCTTTTATTGGACCCACTTCTGTTGGTGAGAGAGACAAGCTTTTGAGCTACACAGAGCTCTTCTGCTGGTCTGGAAAAGCTCTGTATAGCTTGAAAACTTTTGTCTTTAACCTATAGAAGTTGGTCCAATAAAAGATATCACCTCACCTGCCTTGTCTCTCTAACATCTTTGGACCAACACAAGTATAACACTGCAGACATACCCTTAGTATGACCTTTCTGGCCAAAAGCGTCAAAATTAAAAATGTCAGAACTATGGATTTCTTAGTGTATTTAGAACCTTTAACCAAGAGGAAATCTCTTAAAACAACAAGAGAGATCTTTATCTTAAGTAAAGGAAAAATACTGTATGCAAAATGTAGCAACTTGAGATCAATATAAATGTACATTTGATTTAAAGCGTCACCTAATAATCTGTAAGAGTTAGAGCTCAAAAGCTTTATTTTAGGGAACCCTTGTAAGTGCTTAATATATTGGATGTGATTCAAGCAGGTATTTATTGTGGCTAATCCAGAAAAATTTAATGGCTCCAAATCCCACAGTCATATTAGATAGGATAAAAAAAAAGGGGGGGGGAGGAGAATATATCCTTGTGCTTCAGGTATAAGCCAATCACTAAGTGACAGGAGCCAGGAAGAAGTTTCCTCTATAAACAAGCTATTCTGTAACTGTACATGATTAGGTTTCTCACACCTTCCTCTGAAGCATCTAATACTGGCAACGGTCAGGATGCAGCATAGTAATTCCTATGTTTCTAAGTTCTGTGCACATTTTGCAAGTCAGAACAATATTTCAGATAGTAATTGATTTTAAGTGTACTAGTCTCATAAAAATGAAGTTGTAGTTTGCGAAGAATAAAAAAAAAATAAAAGAACTGGCTGAGGGACAACCTCACTACATTTAAAGCATGAATGTAAATGTAGAAGTAAAAAA